GTGTGTGTGTTCATGCATGCATGCATGCATGCATGGCTGTAGGTAGCTAGGTATGCATGCATGCATGCATGCATGTATCTATGTATGTATGTATGTAAGTATAATAGAAAGGTAGGTAGATAGGTAGGTAGGTAGGTAGATAGGTAGGTAGGTAGGTATGCATGCATGCATGCATGCATGCATGCATGCATGCATGCATGCATGTACAACTGTGTGTGTGTGTGTCTGGTGTGTTTGTTTCTTGCTTGGTTAGTCTCTCTCTCTATATATATACATATATATATACACACACATATATATATATGCACTTCCTTATCTCTTTCTAAGATATCTATCTGTTCATGTTCAAAAGCATATCATATGAGGTACATAGTGTGTCTGCATGCACATGCACCTATAAGTACTGTGTATATACATATACATATATACATATATATATATGTATACACTTGTGTGAATGTATGCAACTGAGGGAACGTCGCAAGGCAGTCCGGAAGTTCTGCATGAAGAAGGAGAACCGGAAGACCCACATCCTGCACGCAGCCCTAGCTTTCTGCAGTGGCATCGCAATGTTATTCGCCAACCCCCAGCCCTGAACCCTAGCTTATAGATTGTTGTTTAAGGAAAGACAAGTACCAGAAGAAGTTGCTATGGTATTGGTGCGACATTGCATACGAGGGTGTTCAAGCCAAGAAGGACGAAGAAGAGCTCACGCGAGACACTGCGATCTCGTCGGGCTCCCGGGTGACTGAGGTGCCTTTGGGTCTGGGGGCGAGTCTTCCCGCCCTGGACTCCGATGAAGATATGAATGATGCCGATGATGATGAAGATGACGATGAAGACGAGGATGGTGAGGAAGCCGAGGACAGCAAGCAACCCAAGCTTGGCAAAAGAAAGAGCAAAGAGCAGCTAGATGTGCACGAGGACATGACTCCGATCACTGTGTGCTGCAGCCATACCTGAAGCCTTGAGCAATCCCGCTGAACCCTCATCCCTCCTTATATCAGGACATCGACGGGGTGCCGGACCTGCTGGATGAGATCCTGAGACTCCACAGCCGATCCAAGAAGCTCCTGGATCGCTGCACGAAAGGTGGAGCTGGAGGGCAACATGGCCAGTGATACAGTGTGAGTGCACCATGGTCTTATTCAGTCTTTTCTTGCAATGCATATAAGCCAAAGATGGATGTATTCCAAAAGCAGATCGAGGACCTCGCTGCAAAGCACGACGAGCTGGCAGGTTTGGGGGTTCCTACGATTGTGACGAAGCCATCGACAACAAGACCCTCGACAGCATAAACCCTGCTAAGTAAGCCCCGCCTACCTACCTAGTCTACTAGATGAGAACTGCATGCTTCTTAGTTTAATTAGAAATATACACCCGGAGCCCTTCTCAGGAAACTGACGAAGCTGATGAACTCCGTGAACAAGTTGCCCCCTGGCAAGCAATCAGTGTCCTCGGAGCAAATCGGCGAACACATCGCCGAATCGTGATTTCGCCCTGCAGGGCGAGCCGGATGACTATGGAAGAAAACAAAATCAAGAAGAGTCTCAGCAGCACCCATGCATATGCAGGTGTAGTGTGACCGCCATAGCACCATACATGCAAACATGTTGTTCAGGACACTGCTGCCAACTCTGAAGGGCTTCGACAAGGAGCCTGAAAAGGCCACCGAAAAGAGCCCCAAGGGCTCTGGAAAGGGCAGCGAGGCCGGCATATCCCCAGCCTCCAAGAGAAAGCCGAAGGCCAAAAGCACGCCTCGGCCCAAAAAAGGTGCAAAGTGATTCTATGATTGCAGCTATGGGCACACGGTGCGGTTTTTGAAAACCTTAAAGTATATACTGGGTACATAGCTAGCCACACGATGTGATCTCGAGATCGTTTTCCGCACGATGTGCACTGCTTCTGGATGTTCGGGGAGGGGTTCCTCCGAAAAGCGCCGAAGAAAAGATCTTTCAGCATCGAGCTTGCAAAACTAACATGATCTAACCTATGACTGTCTATGATGACAAACACTGCTCGCAGGTACTTTGTCTGTGCGATCCCTGGACAGCACGATCTCAAAGGCTTCGTCTGCTTCGGGCTTTCGGGCCACTGGACCTATTGAATCGGCTGTGACGACTGCCCTTACGAAAGGTGTGACTGGGCCATCCGAAACCCCCCAAAACCTTGAAAGCCCGAAACCTTTGAACCCCTAAATCCCTATAACCACTTATATATACCCTGTCCCCAAACTTAATCAAAAGCTGAGAGTAGAAACCGTACTAAGCCCTATAAATAGTTTCGTCGAAGACTAGTGTTTATCTAGGCCTCATCAGTCTTTAATTATTGAAACCCAGGTATCGACTGAGTTCCTTGCAGAGCTGGCAAATGCTGTGGTGACAGAGGTCAATGACACATTTGGGGAGGAGGGTGCCGCAAAGCTGCAATCCTACAGGCTTCTCCGAAAAATGAGTCGTGGGTTTACTGCAGGTCATGCTGCAGAGGCCACCCGAAAGGCTTTAGAAACAATGCCCGAAAACCAGGCACCTGTTCCGGTTACAGAAGTTGATATCGGCTTGGACGAACCGTTTCCTTGTATTCTGTTTTCCGATTACCTTCGAACGCTGGCTGAACACAACAAGCTGAATGTGCTTACACAAGATACTGATCTTGAAGCCTTTTGGGGCAAGATGCAGCCACTGCTTCCGGAGCATCCGGTCTTCCAGCTGCCTGCAGAAAGCCGGGCTCGCACTCTTCCACTTTATCTCATAGGGGATGAGGGCCGAGGATGGAAGAAGTCAGCTGTGTTCGTGCTGGGCTCAGAATCAGTGCTCGGCACGGGCTGTGATGCAGAGGATGAGATTACTTCGGCAGAAGCTATGAAGATGAATTTCAGAGGAAACACCATGCTTACCAGGCAGCTGTTTGCATGCATGCCGAAGGGCCTATACCTGAATGACGACCGACCCCTTCACAAGCTTGTCAACATTTGGGCAGAAGATTTTGCAAAGCTCTTCTACGATGGCCTTCGCATCCGCCGTGGCGGCTGCACGGAGACATGGCGAGCCGTGGTTCTTGGGCTTAAAGGAGACTGGCCAGCTTTGGATAAACTAGGACGATTGCAGAGGCATTTTCGTCGAGAAGCCTATCCTTATAAAGTTGGTATATGTCACCTGTGTATGGCTAATACACGACAGTGCCCTACATGGCATGAAGCTGATTTTTCAACGGCTCCTTGGGTTCGAAGCATGGCTACATCCACAATTCCGTGGGATCCGAATAAAGAGTCCGGGCTTACAGCAAAGATACCGATGGCTCCCAAAAGCAAAGCATCTTTCTTTCTGGTGGACCTCTTCCATACATGTCACAAAGGTGTACATGCCGAGCTTGCTGGTTCTGGGCTGGAACTCCTCTCGCATAGTATATGGCCGACCCTGAACCCTAAGTGCCCCAAACCCCCTAAACCGTGATCAAATAATAGATTCTATGCATAGTCTCATAGTCAAAGAGTTTTTTTTGCTCGCAACTAAGATGACTCTCCGGGATTTCGGAGTGACCGGATGTGCTGCGAGAGGTCTCGACAAGAACCTCGCTCATTTGTTTCGGGAGATGAAGGCTTTCGCTGCTGATCGAAATCTCTACCTGCATATGAATGCTTTGACCAAGGGGATGTTGGGGGTCTCTTCGGCAGCAGACTTCCCCTCGGGGTGCCCCGCACTGCTTCGCATCTTTTTGTAGTTCATTGTAGTTGCTTTTGTGAAACATTCTAGTAACCGAAATCGTGCATTGTCGGTTTCGAGGCAATGGTTCAAAGGAGCTGATACAACTTTCGTCCTCAAGTTTCTCGTCTTCAAGTTTGAGAATGTACTGGCATCCGAAGATCTGGGCGACGATCGGCTTTATGTTCAAGCCGTTCTTGATTGCTTGAAAGCTTCTGATGGATTCTTGAGCTCTTTGTATAAAGCCGGCCTGTTTCTGTGGAGACGACGACTCGTAAAGATTGTGCGACTTGGCAACGAGATGATTGCTTCGTACACTCGTTGTGCAGGACTGGCAGTCTCAAGATCTTTGGCTCGCTTCAAGCTCAGCCCGAAGTATCATATGTTGATGCATGTGGTGCTACAGCTCATGGTAGACAGGGATGCCAACCGAACACCTGTCAATCCCATGGCATACTCGTGCCAAATGCCAGAAGATTTTATAAACAGAGTCGCGACTCTGGCAAGGAGTGTGAGCCCTCGGTATGTGCCGGCGAGAAGCTTGTCTCTCTACAAGATTGCACTCGCAAAGCTCTGGCAATGAAAAAATGTGCGATCGTGTGACTTTTGTCATGTTCTGGGCAAGCAAGTTTAGGCCACCGAAAAGAAACACATCACCAGTGACTGGTCCCAAGAAAGTTGCTCAACTATGGAGATGAAGGTAGGG